GTAGGGAATGACACCAATTCTGCCAGAATGCAACTTTCAGTGCCATCTTCTGTGACTCCAGCTAATATCACTCTGCATTTACACATCTTCACACCTTCAGTTCACAAGTATATTGGCAGAATTTTGCAGAAAGATCTTGCCTGAAGCAGTCCGAGGGAATATATTCCATCAACTCATTTATTAGAGAAGATGTGCTAGAAATATTGTGACGTTATCCTAGCTTAAAGATTACTGATGCAATATACATCTTCAGACACTTAATGTTCCCTTAGAGCTCTGTGTGCCATTCCACCCAAAAATTAGGGAGTACCTAAAGAATGGTAAGAGAACTGACTTACCACTTGTACCATTTTGAGATATCTGGCATATCTTGGATCCTTGGCCACAGTTCTGACGTTTTCTGTTACTGCCTCCGTTTTCTGTAACCCTTCTTCATGTACATTGTTCTGCTGTATACAAAGAAGGTAATGCTTTAACGGTTAGGTATGCAGAATGGAAGTGTGGAAAGATTTCAATCCATAAAATTTGTAATTTAAGGGTAAAGAGCAACTCCTCTTAACATCTAGATGATTCTGATCTACACTCATAGTATGAGAGATTTCCAAGATGTATGAATACACAAAACCCAGCTCTTTCATTACTGTTACAAGTGTGACTTTCTACTTTTAGTCACAATTTTAAGTTATTGCACAATGCATGAAAAAAAATCAGCCTATAATAGCCCTGTTAAGTTTGTTGTATTTAATGAATAAAATATAACTAACTTAAATGCTCACTTTATAAAAAATAATTTTTTAAGGATTCTATCTATGGTCCAGCACCTTTTTTCCTCAAAATATTTATTTGATTCCCCCACAAATATTTCATACAGATCATATAGCTTTTAAACTATACTTTCTAGTACAAACCATTAACCTAAAGGATAACATAATGAAATCAAAGAACCCTTGAGAGTAATTAATAAAAAAGAAAAGAACAATTACAAGAAGCTATAGTACTATTTAAAGGACAACAGAATACTTGTATTTGCTATTAAACTAACCATTTGAAAGTAGCATTGGAAACCTCCTTTCAGAAATATCTGTCCCTACTGTAATATCAGAGAGAAGGAACATTTTAAAGAAAACAAAATAACCAGGAGTCATTCCCTAATATGACTGAAACATGCAATGCTAACTGTCCATTCTGTCTCCGATGTTGCTGGCTGCAAATTAGAGTTACAATGTTTAACAGGCAGGGAAAGGCAGGAGAGTACTCCAGCTACTTAATGTTGATCACTTAGAATAATTTGGTATTTTCCGTACATAGATGATAATATATAGAAAACATCACTGTAATAACCTCTTTAAAATAAAGTATGCCAGAAACTCCAATTTGAGCTGAAAGCTCACATTCTAAAGGAGAGAGAAAAGAGTTGGTATTATGTGATTCGAATGTTAATTTTCATTCACGGCTTTCTCAGTCCTCTGATGTAATTCACATTCATACTTTAGCGTGATTGAAGAAGAGGAAGCAGGCATTTACCAGCAGATTTGAGTTAGTTCTAATTATTTAAGTCACATATTCAAGAAATAGGATACCCTTTTTTGTTTTAAGTCACTCGTTAAAACAGTTTTGTTAGTGAAAAATGTAGTTTTAGATCTTTACAGGTGCTTCCTCCACCTATTTCAAATGAGACCAGTAACGTTACATGGAAAGGTGTATTCCTTCAATGTGTTAGTTCTGCTTCATTACTTACTCCAGATTGAGGTGATACAGCTGTCTGTTGGTCTGTAGTAGCTTGTGCCACAGGACCATTTGTAACACTATTCATATTTGCACTGGACACTTCAAATTTGACATCTTCTAGGCCAGGAATAGAGGACAACTGAATGTACAAAACATCATCAAATAAGCAATGAGCATATCATAAGTCTACGTGTACAATAAAATCTGCAGAATGCTGCTTTACCACATATTCCCCAAGTAACTTTCACATTAGTAAAATCGTAACTTTTTATCACTAGTTTTGCATTTTGATTAGCAAAAAAATAATAATTTTCTATTCAGGTGGCTTCTATGACAAAATCCCCAAAACACTCCATTGGAGCTTTCACTGTTATGCAGGGTTGTGGTGCAGGAAAGGCTTCAACACCTTCCCACCATTTTACTACTGCACTTATCAACCACACAAGAGCCGTGACGTCTTCTCTGCTACTTCCTCTACAGTGAAAGAAATCATGACAAGAACAGCTCTATTACCTAACAGATGGGCCACTGGTTACAGATTTTGCAATTTTCTACATCTTTCACTCTTTTAAGGAAATGCTGAGAGTGGATTTTAAATATGCTGCACATTTATTTGAAGGAAATTCTATTTAATGTGATTATGAAGAATTCTGCAAAAATTAACAATACAGATAATTTCTAAATATTTTGAAATAAATAAGAGTTAGTAAGCACTGTTTGTACTATTACAGGGGTTTTTTTCACAAAGATCTTAATGAATGGTTTCAAAATGTCCTACCCCTGCTCCCAGAAAAGCCAACTGAAATTGCTTCCATCATTACTGAAAGAAGGATTGGGTAAAACTGTACACTGCGTGATTTTTTTTGTTTGTTTGCTTTTTATATTATTTTATTTTTAGCAAATTAATGACTGTAGATTATATGCTTTTGTCATTTTAGCTAAAGAAGATACATGAGATGCATTTCTGTTACCTTAGATCCAATTCAGGTCACATTTCAGTATCAAAAGGTTTACAAGGTATCTATATAGTTACTTATATCAGTTGAAATCCCTACAGTCAGGTAACATTTACAAAGATACTTTCGCTTTACCAAGGGGGCAAAAATTTCTTATTAAGAGTTTGCAGGGCAAATGCAATTTTGTTCTGCAACCCTGCAACAGAAGTTGCAAATTTTAATACCGGAAAACTTCCCTCCGTTTTTTTTAAAACCAAACATTACAATAAAATCAAGACAAGTAAGCTGCCATGTAGTTCGGTTGCCCTTTCAAGATCTAAGTGCTCCTTTCCTGTTCAATACACTTAGCAGAGACAAAACCAACATTTCCACTAGGTGCTGTTGGTTCCTCTCTTCCATATCAACTGCATGTTCAAATGTTACACAATGTAAGTGGCAAGGCATGCAAAGAGAGAACTTGCCATGTAAGCATTTTGTATTTGCTCTTTTAAATCATTATGAAAAAGTATTTGCTCAATTCAGAGTATGAAAGGGAAGCTAGTTCACGTAATCTAGGAGGCTGTCACTGTTAGAAGACAAAGTCTGTACACATACAAACCTTTGCATCCAAAATATTGAGTGTTGTTTCAATTTGTTGGATACGGAGAGAGAGCGCTGACAATTTCTAGAACAGAAAACAATTAGCAGATGAAAACACTCCCCTAGGCCACTTGTACATATAAACCAGTCCACATCTAGCTGAATAAAATCACTTCTGTCTTCTACCTGCTGAAGGCGGAGTAGAGTGTAAATGAGATGACAACATTATGAAATAAATGAAGCGATGACATCCCTTTTTAGTACAGCAGTTACACTGGTTCAAATTTTAAATAATTTTACCAGACAATTAGTTTTCTCAGATAATGACTGGCAGAAATGAAGACAGACTAGGAGAAAGCCAAAGTAAACAGGGTATTACTTTGGGCAACTGGAGAATAATGGTAGACATATTGTACTCTTGCAGTTACCAAAACATCTTTCTTCAAAGCTTTTTCCAAATGTAGAAGATGAAAAGATGCGATGTGTGTGTAAGTAACAGGGCAAATACAAAGTAGAAAAATCTGATAAAGAATACAGCAGGTGATTGAAAGTCCTACACAGTCAAAATGCACAGTGACACGGAACTAACCAGAAGCTTTATATGCTCCAGGTGCACCTCAATCAAATTCTGACACTTAAAAAAAAAAAAAGAATACAACTTAAGTTTCTCTAAATTATTCTAGAAGAACTGTCACTTTTTTAACTAATCACTACCATACTTCACCAGACCTGTCCAAGTGAAGTTGGCTAGCATGCCGGCTGGCAGATACGTATCACTGACAGCTTCCTGGCATGTTGGCAAGATTCTGCCTGGCTCTGAAGCAGAACTTTAACACCCTAAGAAAATGGCAGTTCTGCCAACATGCTAGAAAAAGTAAAAGGAGACTGACAAGAGTTAGTCTTTTTGGAGAGTGCACTGACTTGTTTACAGATGGTTCTTTGTTCAGGAAGAGGAGTTAGTTCCTATTGAAAGGAACTATGTGCCCTACATGTAGCTGGGGAAAGGGAAGGAAAGATGTACAAGAGACAGTTATACAACTTTACGGGTCAGTTTGACTAGACAAGAGCCAAGAAATTTAGAGTTAAGAATGGTGTCAGCCCTAATTTTGAACTTCTGGGCTTCTGCTGATTTACACTGAGACCTTTCACATTAAAAATACCTCCTTTCAAAGAGTTTATAAAGAAAGTATTTAGTCTCTTGGGTAACAACATGTTTAGGTTAACTAATAACTGTTTTATTACTAGATTTCACAGCGTTGCTGCGTGCTCAGGATGGCTTTAAATATGTGTTCTGATTTCCAAAGTGCCTATGTAAGAGATTATATTGAGATCATGTGACAACTGAATTTTGGACAACTGACAACTGCATCACCAAGCAGTTACACTGTCCCACGTATCAAGTTACAATAAGTTTAAAAATCTAGAAAAAAATAACTTTTTTCCCTCTGAAGCTCCATATGTTGATGCGGTAGCCAAATTTTATACTTGTTATAGGTCTCGCTCTTTTCTCAGATTACATGGTTTAGTTTAATTGGATTTGAGTGCTGCCCTAGACCTGCTGGCTAGGGCTGTATAGTAGTCTTTGTTGAATAAACTAGCGAACAAAAAATCCACTAATGACAAAAAGGTTAAGCTCAAAGCCACAATAGAAAACACCTTTTCACAAGGAAGGAAGCACTCAAGTCCTGTTCAGCAGACAATTCTACTCTTGTCAGTCTGGTATATTTCTATTGACACTAAAGTCACCATAAAAACTTATTAACACTAAATATTTTTTTCTCTTTTTTACAAGATACTAAAATTAACTGTTTCATTTTCCATACTAATCACTTGCTAAAAATGTCTTTTTTTTTCCACATCAAAATTATCAGCATTCAGAGCTTAGTGTATCACCCTTTGAAATTAAAGGTGCTAAAATGTGAAAGCAAGTTTTGACGCAATATCCTAAACCAGATGAGAGGGATGCTGACTGTCAAAATGGATTCAGCACCATAGGAATATGGCATTCTTCTTCCAAAACAAGATGATATCCACAGATGGAGCTGTTGAGAACAAATTCCATGTATCAAAAAGTTCAAAGACTGTGCCAAACGCAAAAGTTTAAGGAAACAGGATTAAGTGTGGTATAATCAGCAGTTCATGTGAATATCTTGGGGAAAGAATCTGTCTTAAGCACTTACTCAAGAGAAAACTTGAACAGAAAGCAGACTAAATTTTTTTGTTTAAGCTACCAGTATTATTGCATCCAAAATATTGAAGTGAATGGTTCTCATTTCTAGGATTTTTTTCATTGCATAAATTGACAGCTGGGAAAATAATAAACATACCTCTTCACAAACAGTAGAAAAGCGGTTGAGAAACTGCACCGTATGAACCACAAACTGGTTTAGAAATGCTACAGTTCTTTTCTGCTGAATAGCAGGAACCTGCATTAAATAATGTAAGAAAATTAGATTATACGTAGATGTCAATTCTCACATTTGAATTCAAAAACCTGTTAAAAAATACAAATGCTTTAGAAAAAAATATTTTAGAGATCTGCCTTAAGTGTGCTTGCTATGAATGCATATATATATATATAAACAGTTTTTTAATACATATATGTATGCATGTTCCCTTTTCACTGAAAATGTACTAACATCACAGTTGAAAATGTGCAAGATACACAGGAAAGGCAAGAATACCCACATAAATGAAGGACTGTTATCTTATTTAAGAAAACACTTCTAGAGGAAATTGTGAATATTCCTGAAAATCGGTGTTAAATTTTTCAAAAACCAGAGAGGAAATCAGAATCTTTCCTTCTGAAGCTTAAGAAAGAAAAAAAACCTTGGTCATCCATACAAATACTCAGTTACAACCAACATCATAATAAAAAATAAAGAGTAGTGAAATTGCTGTCTCAGTCTTTAGTGCCCACCTATACTTTTTTTTTATTTGTAAGCCCAGACTACCACATTTTAGTGTCACTCCTCTAAGTCAGATCCGATGCACACATACTTTTCAGACTAAAAGGCAGAATATTATGTTTGTGAAAAAAACCCCATCTGGTACTCATAAGGTAACAGACAGTTGGTGTTTTTATTAAAACTGTTGTGCAAGGCTGGAATCGGGAACAGTCACACAAATGTTTATGTATAAATGTATAGTGCCTCATGGTTAATTACCTTGGACAACTGTTTGAGTCTTGAACTTCACACAGGAAATTACTCTATGGAATCATAATTGGTTAAAGTGAAGGATTTAGAAGGAGAAATATTTGCAGCCAAGCTTCAGCTGCACTGAACAACAGTTTGTGAATATAGTGTCTCTCTGCTCTTCACCTCTTTTTTGGTCTTCCATTTGCCGATGTAACCACTCACTACACTTTGCCAATCCTAAATCATCCTGATTTTTTGCGAGACTTCTGTTGCTACTATCCCAAATTTTCAGTCTGTGCACCTGTGTGGCAGGGTTTGCTGAAGTTCAATTCTGTGGTTCCAAAACTGTCAAACAGTGCTTAGGACCTTATCAGAAATTTATGAGGTAGCACAGAGGACGGAACGATCATTAGGGCAATTGCAACTGTCCAATCTTTATGCTCTATATTTGAGAAACGAGGCTAAAAAAATGCTTTTGCATCATAAAAAGACATGAATAAGCACGGGATTTGCCTCACAGTTCTCATACTGAGATGGCTTAGCCTTTAAATACAACGCTATGACAGAACTTATAGCAAAACGCCATTGGAAAACATTGATACCGCAGTGCCGGAGGGAGACAGAGCCGAAGACAAGACGAACCGCCCTGTGCCCCTGCGGCCCGGCCGCGGGAACCCGGCC